CCGTCCCCCGGCGGCGGGTGGAGGTGACAGCAGTGAGGCCCCCCGGGAACGGCCCCTCCGGGACGCGCCGGCCGGGGGCGCGGCGGGGGTCACCTCCTGCCACGGCCGGGGCCGGGGGCCAGGTCGACTCCTTTCATTGTTCAGGGGCGGCGGGGAGGGGACCCGGCGGCCTCCTTCCCCATCCACCCTCTCCAGCTGGCCGAGGCCCCGTTTCTCCCGGCACCCCGGGGGGGATTTGGGGAGGGGGCGCAGGGGACGGCGAGCGAGCGACGCGAAGGACCGCTCGCCGCCCGGGCCCGAGTCCCCGCCGCCCGCGGCCGTGAGCAGAAGGCGGGGGACAGCGAGGCCTCGGCCCAGCGCCGACCACAGGTAGGTGTGGCGACGACTGGTGGCCTAGCGCCTGTGGGATCCGTTCAGGAGACTCCCGCTTCCTATTCTGCCGCCCGCCCCCGCTGGGATTGGAACCCTGGGCTCCCTACCACGGAGCTGTATCCCCAGCCCTTTCTGTTTGTCATTTTCAGACAAAGTGTGGCTTTAGCCCAATCAGGACTCAAACTGGTAATTATCCTGCCTCAGCCTCCCGCAGGGCTGGAATTGCAGACGTCAAAGCATGAGGCAGTTGTTGGTTAGCCTGGAAATGCTGGAACTGGTTCATGCATTTGTGTTTGCTCTTAGTGCTCAAAAGAGAGTGTTTGCATTAAAAATAATTACCCTTTGGATGTGGGAAGGACTGGTCAGTGGGACAGTAACCAACAGTTTGTGAAGAACTTGTGGGAAACGAGCAGTCTACTAACTGCAGTCCCTGCTGCCTACTCGGGCTTGGATCTTTCCCGCTCTTGGGGTGGCTTTCCTTGCTGCGGGCTGTGGAGACACACTGACTGGGTCTACCCTGGCCTGTCATCCTCTGTGTGACCTTGAACAAGTTACAAGAGGTGACCGAAACATACAGTGAATATTTACACTTAAGAATTTCATTGCATGCCGGGCGTGGTGGCTCATGCCTGTAATCCCGGCACTTGGGAAGCTGAGGCAGGAGGATTGCTGTGAGTTTGAGGCCAGCCTGAACTGCATAGCGAAACCCTGTCTCAAAAAGACAAAAAAAAAAAAAAGAGAGACTGGGGATATAGCTCAGTGGTATAAGCGCCTGCCTGGCAAGGGCAAGGTCCTGAGTTCGATTCCCGTTACCCAAAAAAAAAGAGAGAGAGAGACAATTTCATTGCAGTAAAAGCTGCAGTACACTCTGCCATCTCCCTGGGTGTGGGCCACCTTCCCTCGAGGCCCCCAGCAGCACCGACCTCAGTAAATCCAGCTGCCGACTCTGTCTTCTTAAGTGACACCTCGGTATTTGAGGACAGCTGTTGACCAATGCCGTCTGGAAACTGTGTCTTCTTGAGGTTTCTGGGGCTCGTCCCCTTCTGCCGCATGTGTGGGGGTCACACCTCCGCCTCACCCCTGCCCACCCCGGCCAGGATCAGACCAGGGACTCCCCTCTTCCCCTCCACTCACCCCTAAAACGCCCTATCAGTGCATGGTTTGAAATGCTGGTTACGACGTGGGATTCCCAAAGTTAGGTCTCTGGAGGAAGTCCTCTGCCAGTCATCCCCAAACCTGAGCTCTCCATCCTAACACTACCCACCGCCCCAAACAGCTGCCCTCTTATTAAATGGCGCCACTCCTCACTGAGTTACTTCCACCAAGGAGCAAGGGGACCTCTCTAGTCTTTTTGAGACAGGGTCTCGCTATGCGGTTCAAGCTGGCCTTGAGCTCACTTTGTAGCCCAGGCTGGTCTCCACCTCACAGTGATCCTCCTGCCTCAGCCTCCTTAGTGCTGGTCTAACAGGTGTGCACCACCATGTTCAGCTTATTCCTGGATTTTTTGCACTGTGTTTATCAGGCTTTGGTACCAGTACTACGTGAAGACTATAGAAGAATGTAAAAACTTTTTTCTCTAGGTTTGGAGAAAGTTGCGATCCATCTCCAGTTCTTTGGAGGGTCGGGAGTTGGATTTGGTGCTGGGGACTGAACACAAGGCTCATACATGCTAAGCTCACACTCACCCTAGCCTTTCAGCTCTGATTGGTGTGTGTGCGGGTACTAAGGAATGAACCCGGGGGTGTTCTACCATTAAACTACATCCACAGCCCTTTTTAAAGTATAGTTTGAGACAGGATTTTGCTAAATTGCACAGGGTAGCCTCAAACTTGCCATCCTCCTGCCTCAGCCTCTTGATTGTTTGGTTTTGTTTTTTTTTTTTTTTTTGGTTTTTTTGGTTTTTCTCCGGTACTGGGAACCAAACTCACGACCTTGCACTTGCCAGGCAGGCGCTTTGCCGCTGAGCTAAATTCCCAGCCCCTGCCTCAGCCTCTTGAGCAGCTAGGATTGCAGGTGTGTAAAACCATAACCAACTCTTCTCCGATTTAAATGCTTTCTTAAACTGGTGCTAAAGCCCACCTTCCCTAATAGCTTTTTCTTTTCTCTTTTTTTTTTTTTTTTTTTTTTGAGGCAGGGTCTTGCTATGCCGTTTAGGCTGGCTTTGAATTCACTCTGTAGCCCAGGCTGGCCTCAAACTCTTGGTGATCCTCCTGCCTCAGCCTCCTGAGTGCTGGGATTACAGGTGTGCACCACCACACCTAGCTTCCTAATAGTCACTTTTCAAAATTTTTATTTTTATTTGTATTAGTACATATTTGCGGCACGTGGCGATTGCATTCCTCGTGGGAAGTTGGTGCTTGGACGCAGCGCATTTTAATTCCTTTGACGTCCCCTTTCCCTCCCTTCCCGCATAGCCTTTGACTTTGGTGCCCCTGGCCCAAGACTTCCTGAGTCAGCCCTGCCAGCCTGCTCCTCCCAAGACGCCCTCCCCCGTGCTGCCGCCCGGGAAACTGGAACCTTTCCTGCGGGTGCTGGTGGGGCAGAAGCACCACCTGGTGACCAGCTCGTCCCGTATCTTGTCTCTCTTAGCCCCCGCTGCTGTTTCCAGGCCTCAGCATTTTCTTTAGAACTAGCTAAAGTTTCTTGGTTTCGGGCCAAAGATGAAATTTTTCTTGGCCAGTTTGAATGTGGTTGCATCCGCTGTTTTAAGATTTTTTTTTTTTTTTTGGCTTTAGGTTTTTCATTTTGTTTAAAATAGTACAGTGGAGGCGACCAGGGTGAGATGTTCCCTTTCCACTCTTGACAAAATAAAGCATGCGCTTTATTGTGTTGCCGTCTCCTGAGAAAAAAGGGCCGGCCTCCCTGGCTCTCTGGGGCGAGGGGAGCCAGGCCAGGGCTGCGGAAGGAGCCGACTGAGGCCGGGGTGTCGAGGGCGTGACCGTAGCCATGTCGCCCCCTCGTTCTCCTGGCCGGTTAGAAACAGACAAGAAGGCTCAGATCTTCGGCTTCAGAAAGTGTATTTTCCTTTTGCCCTTCTTTTCTCTGCCTACTTTTCCCTCCCCTTCTTCCCTCCTCCCTCCCTCTTTCTTCCCTTTATTGCTCTTCCTTTATTTCTCTAAAGCCCCAGGAAATGAAATGCAAAGACTTACGCCTTCAGTCCTGAAATGCAAGCTGAGACGCTCTCCCGGCAGGAAATTCCAAAGAGAAGGCACCTGCAGCAGCAGTCTCTGGCTTCTGTGTTTTATGGAGCACGTGTAATAACTTTGGCAGGAATGCCCGAGGGCCGACATTTAACAGGAAGAGCCAGGATTTTGGAAGTGCAGGCAGCGTCCCGAATCCACGCGCATCTGCATACCCTACGTGTTTGCGCCTGGATCCCAGTGTTCTAGCTTGAGTAGAAGTTGATCACGTGACTGGCTTTTCAGGTCTTTGTGAAACCGAATAACTACGTTGACCAAAATTTCAACTTTGCAGCTGATTGTTTTGGCATGGTGCGGATGCAGCTTTCCCTTGGAGCGTTAGTGGAAGCCTTGCGGAGCTGTTTGAGGACATGAAACCTCAGTCAGTGTGCGGCTTCCAAGTCACACTGTGTGGTTCTTGGTCCCATCGCTTCGCCCTCAGAGACGGGTATTTCCCCCAGGGCGTGCTGCCTGGGTGGAGGCCCCATTTCCAGCCGTGCTGTCCTGTCTGCTGTCCCTATGAGATAGCTCAGGGCAGATGTCAGCCCCTTCTCAGGGTCGAACCCTGAATGTTCAGTCTTCAGAGGAACAAACTGCTGATTGATTCGAAGCTGAGAGCAAAAGTAACTTTGAAGTCTTCTGAGAAACTTCATTAAGCAGAATTATTTATTTCAGTAGTGGTTGCATTAGAAAACAGACACCATGGTTGTTATTCTAAGGTTGCAACTCCATGTTATTAAGAGTCGCTGTCATACTGCCAGGCATGGTGACACACACCTGTAATCCCAGCACTGAGAAGGCTGAGGCAGGAGGATCGCTGAGAGTTCAAGGCTGGTCTGGGCTACATAGTGAATTCAAGGCCAGACTAAACTATGTAGTGAAACCCTGTCTCAAACAAACAAGCAAAACTAAACAAAGAGTAATTGTCATGTGTTATTTCTCATGGGAAGATGGAAATCATTTTTGATTTTGGATACCAACTTAGTGGACAGAGCTAGTTTTTTTTTTTTTCTTCTTAACATCACTTTTTTCTTTTTGGCAGTACTAGAATTTTTTTTGTTTTGTTTTTTGACTTTTGGAGACAGGGTCTCGCTATGCAATTCAGGCAGGCCTTGAGCTCACTTTGTAGCCCAGCCTGGCCTCGAACTTGCAACAATCCTCCTGCCTCAGCCTCCCAAGTACTAGGATTACAGGCATGCACCACCATACCCGGCAAGAAATTGAAACCAGGGTTTTTATGCATACAGTGGGAAGCACTCTACCACTGAGCTATATCCCCAAGTCCCTCATTTAGAAGGTTTTTGGTTTTTTTAAATTTTGAGACAGGGTTTTGCTAAGTTGCCCAGGCTGGCCTCACACTGTGATCCTCCTGCTGGAGACTCCCAGGTAGCTGGGAATACAGGTGTAACAGTTCTGTTTTGGATGTAACATGAACACAAACAGAAAGCCAGTGCTGGTAGCATGTGAATCAATGGAGCACAGAATGCAAGCTAAAAGCTTCGAGAAGCCTCTCTGTAGCTCCTGCCCTGCACTCCCGGTGGTATGACTGGACTCGGGGCTGGGGCGGGCCATGAGGGAGGGACGCGGTGGCCGCTCAGGATGGACGGGCACAGGGAGACTGCGGCTGGCAGTCTGGGGAAGTCAGATGGCTTCTGACCCACTCGAGCAGTGTTTGGAGTGGTGGAGGGTACCAGGCTAGCCAAGCTCACTTAACCGATCAAAAAAAGTAACTTTTGCAGCTGAAGTAGGCGTAAATTATGAGCTGTAAATGCACCCTTGTAAAGTAGCTTTTAAACTAGCCATGGTGGCACACACCTGCAATCCCAGCGCCCAGGAGGCTGAGGCAGGAGGATCGCTGCGAGTTCCAGGCCAGCTTGGGCTACATAGGCATTCAAGGCCAGCCTGGACCACATAGTGAGACCCTGTCTCAAAAAAACAAAAACATTCATTCGTTTACCCAACTAGCAAACATTCGCTGTCATCCTATGTCACATTACACGTAGGAATAGCGTAATGAACAGGATAGATGGAGACCCTGCCCCAGTGGAACTTAGGCTAGCAATGGTTAGAAGTGCTCAGCTAGTCACAAAGTTACAGGCTTCTGCAGAGGAAGCCTTCAGCCTGGGGAGGGTGACAAACAGGTGAAGGTCTCACAGCCATGGTGTTGGTGGGTCAGAGGGCCCTAGCAGATGTGCAGTGCAGTCTGGAGGCAGCTCCAGAGGAGCCCAGTAGAGGGCTGGGGACTTAGCTCAGCGGCATAGTGCCTGCCCGGCAAGCGCAAGGTCGTGAGTTCGATCGCCGGTACCGGAAAAAAAAAAAGAAGAGCCCAATAGAGCAGGAGGATTTGGGCTTCTGCCGCAGAGCAGCGGGCAGCACCCGGAAGTGTGTGAGAAGGAAGAGACGCAGGTCTGCACCCATAGGAGATCCTCCTGGTGGTAACATGGGGTCCGTAGGGCTGGGGAGAGTGAGGGAACTCCTGTGGGGGACGGACAGGTGACTGGGGTCCCGGGAGGCTTTGGGGCTGAAGTCCGGTTGGTTGTTGAGACATGGGCAGTCAGAGAGGGGTTCTGAGGCAACTTCTGGGGTAAGGACTCCAACACCTGGCTGGTCTTCCTGACACGGCAAGTCTGGAAGAGGCCCTGACCCCTTGAAAACAATGAGTCCAATTCTGGACTTGCTGATTTTGAGGTTCTTACCCATTGTTCAAATGGGCAGTTAGGCATGGTGCCACACACCCATAATCCCAGCACTTGGGAGGCTGAGACAGGAGGATCGCTGTGAGTTTGAGGTCAGCCTGGGCTACAAAGTAAGTTCAAGGTCAGCCCGAACTGCATAGCTAGTCTCTGTCTCAGGAAAATACAATACAATGCAATACAAAAGGGTTTCTTAGGAAGCCATATCCAGGTTTGCTTTAAGCCCTGGAGCCACCAGAAAGGCTCCTTCCCCAGGGTTGGGACGCGCCCAGAAACACAGGCAGAGAAACAAAGACACTGAGCGTCCGAGGTGAGCAGCTGCAGTCCCTCACCCCACACATGCAGCAGACCGTTCCGCATGTGTGGACACCGTGATTTGTGAGCCCCGGGAGGGCGGGGGCCATCTGGACCCCATAACTCGGAGGAGCGAGGGAAAGATCAAGCTGAGGCCAGCCCCGGGGCTGCACTTGAGGTGGGGGACACACACCACTAGATAAGGAGGCAGGCGTGGGGGCGCAGGCCTGTGATCCCGGCGTCTGGCAGGCCCGAGCAGGAGGGCTGCAAGTGTGAGCCGAGCCTGAGGCCCCTCCTCAGCGTCCGAGTGCTCTGTCACCCGCACCATAGAAAGGCGCTATGCTAGACAGCTGGAGCGGCGCCGGGCAGCGAACCGGAGCATCCACCTGCGCGGTTCCCTGGGGCCCCGCCCTCCATCCTCTGCGTCCCTGCAGATGACAGGAGCGAGCGGAGGGGCGGGCTGAGCCCCCCAAGACTCTACTAGTGTGGGAGGTCCGAAAGGGTGAGGTGCAGAGAGGACACCGCCCTCCCCCAGCCCTGAGGTGGCAGCTCTGCATTTCACATCTGTCTCTTCCTTTCACTTTCAGTAGGTACTTATTGGCATTTTTATTTAGCATAATCATATATTCTTACCAACAAAAGCCTGCTGCTTGCTTGCTTGCTTTGCTTTGCTTTGCTTTCAGCACGGGAGATTAAGCCCAAGGCTTTTGCACTGACCTTTTTCTTTTGTTCTGGTTTTTGGTTTTGTTCCTGTTGTTATTTATTTATTTTTTGAGACAGGGTCTTGCTATGTGGTTCAAGCTACCTTGAACTCACTACGTAGTGCAGGATGACCTCAAACTTGTGGTGACCCTCCTGCCTCAGCCTCCCAAGTGTTGGGATTACAGGCATGTGCCACCATACCTGGCTGAAGCATAGATATTCACACTTTTTACAAAAAGCAGAGTTGATTTCAGTAGTATAAATATTTCCAAGCTGGGCGTGATGGTGCATGCCTGTAATCCCAGCACTTGGGAGGCTGAGGCAAGAGGATCCTTGCCAGTTCGAGACCAGCCTGGGCTACAAAGTGAGCTCAAGGTCAGCCTGAACTGCACAGGGAGACCCAGTCTCAAAAAAAAAGGGAGCTCAAGGCCAGCCTGAACTGCATAGCAAGACCCTGTCCCAAAATGACCAAAAAATTTTTTAAAAAAATGTTTCCAAGAAGGAAATTTGGAGAGGCGATAGATATATTTCTATGTATTTATGTATTCTTGGAGCCAGCGGAAATTGATTCCAGGGCGTGGTGTCTTCCTCCGTCTTGCACAATGCAGGAAGTCCTATGAGTTCGAAGACTTACTGCAGTCCCCCTCGGACAGCGGCAGGTCGGACTGGTACGCGCAGACCAGGCTGGGGCGCACGCGCACTCTCTCGGAGGAGAACGTGTATGAGGACATTCTGGGTAAGAGGCCCTGCCTGGCTGGGCGGTAGGGGGCGCTGCTCTGCTCCTCTGCGTAGCCTGTGCCCAGGGAAGGAGGGCGCTGGGGCTGGGACCCGAACTGGAGCCGGAGTCCCACAGCCTGCCTGCGACCTTGGTTCTGCCGTTAGCTGTGTGATGCTGAGCTGGTGACTTCTCTGAACTCATTCTGTCATCTGTGTATTGATAACCCCTTGCAGGGAGGGGACTTACAGACTGGGGAGAACGGAGTAGACCCAGTTTCTCAAATGACCTCGAAATTGCAGGAGTCATTGTAGGAAAAGAGAGCCCTGCAGACCAGCAGGCCCCTGAGGGAACCCCAGGAGTGTTGCTCTCACAGGGCGTCACTGATGAGGAGAATGTCAGCTTAGCAAAAGAATGTTGGGCTGGGTGTGGGTGGCACAACTATAATCCTAATACTGGGGAAGCTGAGGCAGGAGGATCCCTGTGAGTTTGAGGCCAGCCTTAACTATATAGCAAGGCTCTTGTCTCAAAACTAAAAAAAAAAAAAACAACTTTGGCCTAGCCCTACGGATTCCTCTCAGTTGCCAAAATGGGGCTTCAACTCTGAGGGTATCTGGGAGCTCAGAAATCTTCAGGCATCATGGTTTCGGTGAGGTGGGACTCAGGTGGGGAGGGACGAAGGAAGGGACACCCCTGTGTGTTGCACATGCGCAGCAGGCAGGGTGGCTGCAGCAGACACACATGCGCACACCCGTCCATGCTGGGCTGGGCCTGGAGGAAGGGCGTGCCCTCTGCCGAGCTTCTGGGTGGAAGGGTTGGCCTGGGTTGCTGCCCCCAGAGTGGGCTTCTCAGAGCAAAAGTGAGCATGAGCGCTGCATTTCTCTCTCCATGTTCTTGAGACAAAGTCTCATGATGTTCTTCAGGCTGGCCTTGAGCATACTTTGTAGCCCAGGCTGGCCTCGAACTCACAGCGATCCGCCTGTCCCCTGAAGTCCCATACCCTCCTCTGGGGATGGTATCTGGGCGTTACCATGGTGGCCCATGGGTCCCAGCGAAATCCTCGAGGTTTGTCCTGGCCAGACCTGCTTGTTGATTTTGGAGGCTGGAGTGCCACGTAGCAGTTGCCTCAGTTGGGGTGTGAGCCTTCCCTGAACGCTTCACTGTGGCCCGGACCTGGATCCGGAGTGCTGAGCCCTGGGAGTAGCTGATCTTCCGTGGTGGCCATCAGGGAGACAGGGAGTTACCCCAGCGGGAAGCAGGGTCTGTCAGGAAGAGGCAGGGTGACGGAGAGCAAAACAGCCGAGATACAGCACAGGAGAGCCCACGGTGTTGGCCTCGGTGTCCCCAGAAGGAAACCTCCCCCGCTTCCTCACCTGTTGTGTTTGGCCGCAGATCCGCCCATGAAGGAGAACCCGTATGAGGACATCGAGTTGCACGGCCACTGCCTGGGCCAGAAGTGTGTCCTGACCTCCCCCGCTTCTCCCACTTCGTCCGCCCCTGACACGCCCACCAAGGTACGAGCCCCTGGAGTGGCGGCAGGAGAGGGGCCCAAGCTGGTGGCCCTGAGCACCCAGAGTTCAGGTCACCCTCACAGCCTGGCTCCTGGGACTGTCTGTCCCCTGCCTGACCGCTCTTCCTGCTTCTAGTTCTGGAACCCTCTGCCTCACAGAGCCTCCCAAAATGCCAGCAGGTTTCCGGCCCAGGGCCTCCTCAGATGTGGTAAATAAATGTGGTGCACACCTGTGATCCCAGCTACTTAGAAGGCTGAGGCAGGAGGATCATTGAGAGTTCGAGGCCAGCCCGGGCTACAAAGTGAGCTCAAGGCCAGCCTGAACTGCATAGGGAGACCCTGTCTCAAACAGACAAAAAAAAAAAAAAAAAGAAAGAAAGAAAGAAAGCTGAGGCAGGAGAATTGTGGTTTGGAGCCCACTCTGGCAACTTAGTGAGAACCTGTCTCAAAATAAAAAGGGCCAGGGTGTAGCTCAGGGGTAGAGCACTTGGCTGGCACCCACAAACCCTGGGTTCCATCCCAGTACTGCAAAAGAAAAAACTATATATCCATCTCATGTAGCTGTTGAGAAGACAGTCCTAACTAGGACAAACGGAAATACAGACTAACAAGCAGACTGTAAAACGGTATTTCTAAATTGTACTTTTTTTTTTTTGGTGCCGGGAATCGAACTCAGGACCTTGCACTTGCCAGGCAGGCGCTTGTGCCGCTGAGCTATATCCCCGGCAAAACAATATTTCTATAACATGCTACCATTTGTGGGTTTTAAATGAGAGAATACACATACCCGGAAGCTTGTGTGTGTTTGTCTATAAGAATCTCTTGGTTACGAGGACCTAAGAATGGACACGCAGGTGCCAAGGAGGCATTGCCTGGGGTCTGACACCACAAGACCGACTGCCTTTTTTACAGCACACCCTTTTGAGCCTTTTAGAATTTTCTGCCATACTCACATAGGTGATACCATTGTATGCATGATGTGGGGATAATTTCAACCCACTGCCTGTGGGGAGAGCTCATGTTCTTTAGCTTGACATTAAATTCAACCCTAAGCACCCCTTACCACCTGGTCTCTCACAGTCCTACCTGCAGACCCTCCCTACGGGCCAGAGCCTCCCTGTGCCCGCTGGTGTTATTGGCCCAGAGTCAGCAAACTTCCCCTAATCGGCCAGGGAACAAATATTGAGGCCATGTGGTTTCTGTCATAACTCCCCACCGCTGCGCCGTGCTGTGAAGCAGCCGAGGACAGTCTGTAAGCAGGTGGCTGTGGCTGTGTTGCAATAAAACTTTATTGATGGGCACTCAGATTTGAACTTTTGCATAACTTTTCACTCATCATGAAATCCTCTTTATTTTTCCACCATTTAAGAATATAAAATCAAGCTGAATGTGGTGTGCGTGCTTATAATCTCAGCACTCTGGGAGGCTGAGGCAGAAGGGTTGTAAGTTTGAGCTTAGCCTGGGAAGCTTAGCAACTCATCTAGACCCTGCCTCAGTATTAAAAATTTAAGGGCTGGGGATTTAGCTCAGCAGCACTGCGCCTGCCTGGCAAGGGTGAGGTCGTGAGTTCGATTCCCGGTACCGGAAAAAAAATGAAAAACAAAACAAACAAACAAACAAACAAAATTTAAAAAGGGGGTGTGGAGCTGGGGATATAGCCTAGTATAATGGCCCTGGGTTCAAACCCCACTAAAACTGTCTTTAACTTATGGCAGATCAGATGTGGCTCATAGGCAGTAATTTGCAGACCCCAGTACTAGTTTAATTTTGCATCTAGCCTTGGTTGTCACCTGGACCTCTGTCCCTATCCCAAGGGCCAGCTCCGTGAGGCCCCCTTTAGTTAAGTTTCTTATGCCTTCCCAGCCCTAGGGCCCCTCTTCCCTGACTGTCTGCATATTCAGGCATTTATCTCACGCTGAACTCTAAACTGCACTGGGACATCTCTTGCACTGATGATTTTAGTGCCATTTAAAATCATGTCCTGTGTCCTAAAAACATTTCCTAGCGTTTGAGGGTGTAGCTCGGTGGTAGAGCACTTGCCTAGCACGTGTGAGGCCCGGGGTTCACTCCCAAGCGCCAAAACAAAACAACTCCCTAACTCACTATAGATTCCTCAGTTTGCATTCTGTTCCTTTGTGTCACCCAAAAGGACTAGCATTAGTTATACAATATTCAGTTGTTGGCAAAATTAAATAAAAGAAGGCCGAATCCAGGCTGCGAGTGTCTGCTCAAATCCCCTGCTTGGACAACCGTGGATCAGTTTGCAGCCTGAGAGCAGCGCCATCCTTGGGCTCAGCATGTAGGGGTTGGGCTGCACTGGCCATCACAGAGGGAGGCTTCCTGCTGCCAGTCTGGCAGACCCACCCCAGAGTTCACCAGCTGCCCAAGTTCATCAGCTGTCCTTTTCCTCTCGTTGTGGCAAAGAGTAGGGTCATGAGTAGTCTGTGACAGCCAACAGTTAACACTTCCTGCCTGCCTTGGCGATGTCCTTGGTGTTTTCATTGGAATATATCTGCCTTTGACATTTAGGGACCAGGCATGGTGGTGCACACGTGTGACCCAGCACTCAGGAGGCTGACACAGGAGGATCACTGAGTTCAAGGCCAGCCTGGGCTACCTAGTGAGCTCAAGGCCAGCCTTAACTACATAGCGAGACCCTGTCTCAAACAAACAAAAAACTATCTAGGAAATCCTTCCTTTCCTATAGTGGGTAAAACAGTTGGAAAAAGACAGAGCCGGGTGTGGTGGCACAAGCCTGTAACCCCAGCACGTAGGAGGAGGCTGAGGCAGGAGGCCTGCCCAAAGAGGCCCTGCATCGGGCTGAGCACTCCTTTCTTCCTGTACCTGCCAGGTGAAGAAAACCTAGAGCCTCTGCCTCCAGAAGAGGCGAGCCTGTCAGTGGCGACGTCAGCGGCGCTGGCTGTCCAGGCGCGGTGCCCGCAGAGGACAGCATAGCTAGCTAGCCAGGGCTCGCGTCTGATCGCTGCTGATTCTCGCAAGCTGTGTGGGGCCGCACGCGTCATCCGCGGGGCGCTGGGTCCACGCTCGTTCCTCTGCTCGCCCACATCCGAGTGTCTGGTTTGCGCCCCCGTCCTGGGGGACAGCTGCAGGCTTCACCACTTCCTCCACTTAGCTCCGCAGATATTCACTGAGCCTCTGCCGCATCTGGGCTGCATCTGGACCTTAGGAGTAGCTGAGGCAGATCCACCTCCGCCAGTCAAAGAAAGTCACCTCTGGGGCATCCATGCTACTAGCTCCTGCCTGTGGGCAGCAGGTGGGAGAGCACCCTTGGGAAGGGGCAGTGTGCAGCTGGGCCTGTGGACCGGAAACAGGCTCCTGAGAAGGATTCCTCTTTCCTCTCTGCCCCTGCCCCCATTCCTAGTACAGCACAGGGACCCTGGACTAGGGTGACATAGTCTTTTTACATATTTACTCCACTCAGATGAGAAGGTTGAGCTGGGGTCTGAAACCAGGTCACTCTACCCCCAAGGCTTATCTACCACCCATGGTCCCTACCCATACGCCCAGGCCAGGACCTGGCACACTCAGCTCCTTCAGTACTCAGGGGGCTCCAGGGAAGTCAGACCTCAGGCCGGGAGGACGCCAGTCCGCCAGGCCGCCCCTGGAGTCGGCCCCCGGCAGTGCAAAAAGGAAGAGGGCCTGCTCTCGCTCCTTCTTTGTGAAGTGTGCAACTAAGATGTCCGTAGTAACCAGCTGGGTCAGCTCCTCCGTATGAAGCAATTTATGGCTCCTTGTAGACCCATGGTGAAACAGTGGAGTTGGCTATCCGAAAGGCTGGGAGTCTTTATTCCTGGAAATCTTCAAAAAGAAAATGTTCTAAATTATTACTGCACACTATTTGAGCTAAGCAAGAATGGAGAACTCACTGGAACAAAACAGGCCTAGGCCAGGAGGGCCTAAGAAATGACAAATATACCTTGTAAACCTTCCTTCCTTCCTTTCCTTTCCTTTGCTTTCCTTCTTCTCTGTTTTCTTTCTTTCCTTCAGTGCTGTGGGTGGTGAGCAGCACCCTACCACTGAGCCACACCGCCTGCCCCTCATGCCTTATAAATCGATGGAGAAAGAAAGGCTCATTCATTAAATGGAATGGGATCAATTAGTCTGGGGCAAGATGATTTAGATTAACATACTGTAAAATAAATTACCATTGGATTAATAAATAAAATATGTGAAAAACAAATCAAGAAAACGCAGAAACAAAAAGAATTAAACATTTAGTACAGCTCTAAAAAGAGATCGATTTTCTAGGCAAAGAATGAAGAGATTAAATGAGTCACAAAGGGGAAGATGAATGGATTTTCATGTCAAAAGTCACATGGGGCTGGGAGTGTAGCTCAGAGTACTTGCTGTCATTCATGAGGCCCTGGATTTGACCCTCAGTACCACAAAGGAAGGAAAGGAGGGAGGGAGGGAGGGATGGAAGGAGGGAGGGGAGGGGAGGGAGGGAGGGAGGCAGTTATATATCCAAAGTAAAGCTACAAATACAAACTACAAATAAATGAAAGAAGCACATTTCAACAAAACTAGCAAATAGTTAATACCTGTTCAATATAAAACTCATCCAAAATAATAGGAAATTGCCTGCCTGGCAAGTGCAAGGTCCTGAATTAGATTCCTGGTAACAAAAATAATAATGATGATGATAGGAAAAACATGGGTTGCATAAGACAGACAAACAGCATAAGCAGTGTGCTGAAGAGAAATGCAGTTCACACATTAAAATATGAAAAATATCGCAGCGTCATAGCAGAAGCAGGCAATGGCCTATCAAATGCCTACTGAACAGAGCAAAAAGAATTCTGCTTGATGCTTTATGTACTTTTATCAAATTTGATTAACTAATTGATTTTAAAAAGAGACTAACAATACAGTATCACAAAATGTGAGCCCTGGAAGTACTGTTAGAAAATATGTAAAGTAAGCTAGGTGTCTTAGCGCACACATATAATTCCAGCATCTGGGAGGCTGAGGCAGGAGGATTGG